GAATAGAATAAGCATTTATAAAGACCATCTCATGTGATTCAGTTTTATCCAGTTTACAGAGCTCAGAGAGGTGAGGCAACTTGACTAAAATCAGACAACAACTGGTAGTACCAAGAAATAAACAGATTTTTCTGATTCCAAAGCTGTGAAGTTTCCCCATTACTTCACCCAGCACATATAGGCTGTGATAAACTGATACCAGCTACAGAATTCCTCCATGCCTGTACTCATGCCCTTTGCAATGTGACTAAGAGACAGCGTCTATTTCTCCACCCCTTGAATCAAGCTTGGCCAAATCACTTTAGCCAATGGAACACTGGTGATCATGACCAAAGAAGACGCTTCAAAAAGCACTAGTACACTGCAGCTTAGCACAAAACCTTGAGAGTCCCATGTGAATGAGCCTGAGCTAGCCTTGTGGAGGTGAACTGAAGCAGCCCAGCAAACACCTGCCAACTGCCAGACATGTGAGCAAGGCCTTCCAAGACCAGCCAGCCCCGGCTAACTGCAGCTACATGAATGAGCCTAGGTAAAGCCAGAAGTACCCAGCTGAGCCCAGACCAGATTCCCAGTTCATAGGATCATGAACTAATAAATTGTTGTTTGAGGCCATTGGGTCTAGGGTGGCTTGTTACACAGCAAAGGCTAACTGATAGACATACCTGGTGAAGACACTATGCAGACAACAACCAATAAGCATGTGCACCTAAATGCACACAAATGACCTTTCATAGAAAATCTGCTGGTAACCACAGACACTCAAATGCCCCTACACGTCACACACATATATACCAAGCCACCACCCAAACCCCACACACCTCTATTCAGACCACTCTCCTGGCTTCTGATGTAATGTAACGCCGACGTAAATGCCAGTCTGGGACCAGATGGGTTGACACTGCCCGAGCTCTATATTACTGGTACTGCCCAGCCCAGTGCCAGGCATGGAGAAGGACCCAGCAGACTTTTGTTGAATGAATGGAGGAATAAAGTTAAGGGCATAGGACAAGCCAGAGGTTGGCAGCAGTGAGCAGACAGTGCTGAGGGAGTCTCCTGCGTAAATGGAGAGGCCTGGGAGTGGGGGTCACAGCTTCAGTATTTTTTCCTCTTAGGTACCCACGTGGGCAGGGACAGAGAATGGGTGCTCACAAATGCTTAACTTACAAGTTGTACTTGTGCTTGAGATTCTAGTCTTTAAATAGTTTCCACTGTTGTCTTTTAAAGGCAGTGGGGATTGTGAAAAAGCACTTGAAGATTTTCAGGAAGGAAACTGGAACCAATAAAGTATCTTGTATGTGTAACTATGGGGAAATTAAGGATGGGTTAAAGGAAACTGCTAAGCAAATGAAAAACAAAGCAAGGAGTAGCTCCAGGAAGAACAGAGTTGCACCAGAAAGGAAGTGTAACTAGAAGGAGCAACTTGGCAAGAAATAACATTTATATGGTCACACTGTAAATAACATTAATTAGTCATTCAATGAAAAATTAGGATAAATGCATGTTGAAAGGAGAAGAGGGTGAGAAAAGTTGTCTTCCTTGATAATAATAACTCAGTTTTGACTACTTGGGTGATGTACATTCTTCTAGGCATTTTACATGTTGAATCCTCATAACGATCCAATAACTTCAATATTCTAATTACTCTCATTTTACAAATGAGGAAACTGGGGCACAAGGTGGTTAAGTCACTTGCCCGAGGTCATACGGCCATTAAGGGAAAGGATTCAAACCCAGGCGGGCAGGCTGCAGGAGCCACACCGTGGGGACAGCAGACCTGAAAGTCAGTCAATATTTGTCTAAAATTAATGAAGCAAATGGCAGGAAACCATGTTACTTAGAAATATGGAGGACAGTACCAGAAGAAATAGTTTAAAAAGCTGAATGTGGCTGCTTTGGGGAGCAGGGCTGGGAGTGGGAAGGACAGGGCAGGGAAATATTTTTATTAATAGTTTTTAATTTATATAGATAAATAGATATATCCATGAGGTGGGGACAGGAACTGACAGGGAATGAAGATGAGGGGACCTCTCATGGCTCTAGATCCTGATTGGGGTTTGGGGTACAGAATGCACTTCTCTAATTTCAGCAGGTGGTACCTTTAAGGTCTATGCATTTCACTGCATGTAAATTTTACCTCCCACCCTCACGAATAACCAAAAAATATGGAGCTTTAGCTAATGATACACATGCTGAAGTGCCTTTAAGGGGAAGTGTACTGATGTTTGCAATACACTTTGAAAAGCTTTAAAAGAATAAGTTACCTTAATAGATGGATAGAGAAATAGATAGATGGAGACTTGCATAACCGCAAATCTAGCAAAATATTAACAACTGTGTATCTAGTAGGTGACATATAAGTGTTCACTGTATAATTATTTCAACTTTGAAGTTTGAAGATTTTCTTAATAAAATATTGGGGAAAATATACAAATATATTATCTGAAAAATAATATTACATTTTTAAAAATCTGGATAGGGTTTTTGTCTTGGGCCGGGAGGGACCTGTCCACTCCTCCTGGACACAGGATGTCAGGCAGGTTGGAGTCTCCTCCCTCGGTCCGCTTGAACAACTCATTAGCAAAACCAGAACCATTTCATCACGGACAGGAACAATGCCCCCTTGCTACATCCCATCCTCTGCCAAAAGGGTAAACTGAGGTCTGGTAGGTGGGGATGGGTTTTCCCAGGAGTGCATCACATCCTCGTGACAGAAGTGAGCAGCCAGGTTGCCAGTCTCCCAAGCCCACGTGTGTATAATTAGCTAGTGGGAAATAGATCAGGGAGCAGATCTCATCTCTGCCTAATTAGGGGTTAGGCAGCTGGGGCCAGTCTGGCCTAGGGAAGCTGCTCTGGAGGCCAGGCAGCCCCGGGGGACGGGGCAGCAGCTGCAGGCCCTCAGAGGAGCTGAAACACAGCGGCTGCCCCTCACTGCCCCTCACACTCCAACTGGAGGCGAAACAATAGAGAGCCTGTTTCTGCAGATTCCCAAGGCTGGCAGGCTGGTGGGTAAGCCCCTGCACCTCCCTCTACAGAATCCTGGTGGAGAGGAAGCCCTCCCAGAACTAGGCAGCCCCTGTCAGAGAAGTCAAGGCTCAGTCTGGCCCCTTCCCCTCCCTGCTCTCTTCTAATAGACCCTCCCAATGCCCCTCTAGGCCTACTCTGGTCCAGCTCCTGGGAACAACTCTGATCTTCAGGCAGAAGTCCCTGAGAGTATCTGCTCCACATTACATGACTAGTTACTGCTTAGCTGCCCCTTCCCTCCCCCTAGACCTGGCAGGGCCCATGGCCAAGTTGTCCAGTGCTGGGCATCCAGTAGGTGCTCAATAGAGACTAGGAAGAAAGACTGCCAGGGTGGGGAAGAGAGGTGAGGCATGTGTCCAGAGAATCAGGAAGCCAAAGTGTCACTGACTGGGGTGTCCAGCAGGCGGGCTTGATCCTAGGCTGAAGTACAGACTTGCACTGTGACAGCCCATAAGCCACTCCCCCTCCCTGCTCTAAGACAAGATGTGATCTTCTGAGGTGACCCCTGAAAGATCTCCTGGAGGATTCAGTGACAGGTTGACTATGAAAGGTCTGAGTCTAGCACTTAAACTTCCTCCAGGAACAAGGGGTGTCCTGGCCCATCATCCACCAGTCCTGTGATCTGAACCTTAGTTACTTCACATGTAAAATGCAGCCAACACACACACCTTCTTGGGTTTCTGGGGGACAGGCAGGTCACAGCAAGGGGCAACCCTTAGCACAGAATTCTGGCAGGGTTGCCTGGAGAGAAGGATCTTTGACACCTCAAAGGATAACAGCTCTGCAGAGCCTACCCAGGTTATCCCCTCTGAACCCGTCACTCCTGTAACATGGGGACCAGGAGGCCCAGCTCCTGCACTGCCAAACCTATGGCAGGTCATCACCCTCTCTGTGCCTCAGTCTCCCCATCTGTATCATAAAGGGGTGAACTCCATTCTCATGAATTTGAACACCATCCTCTTCTATAACTCGATTTCCCCTTGTTTCTCAAAACAGCCCAGGACCAGACCAGTCCCCTAGGGGCTTGTTGTGGACTGTCAGACAGACAGACAGCTGGGCTGACCTGGATGTTTGTCAACAGACCAACGGAAATCTCCTCTTTATGCTTAAAATAAAACCTACATCAAACCTGTCACCAGGGCCCCCACTAGAGCTTCCTGTTTCTCAGTGCTGCAGCCCAGGCAGCCTGTGGGAGAGGAAGCGCCACCCAGTCCCGCCCCCTCCCATGGGGGAAGGGGGGTGCGGAGGCCACCCAAGCTCTCACCCTTTGTGTGCCTGGCCCTAGACCTGGCTGCTCCCCCAGCGAAGGGTGGGGTCTCCTAGCAGGTAACTAACCTGGAGGGAGATGGGAAGGAGCCAAGACCTCAAAGCCCAGTGCCAGCCCCCTCCTTCCTCTTGCCCCCACCCAGAGAGGACCGTACCGCCAACTCTCCCACTGAGGCCCAGAGAGGGAGACTGGCTTGTCCAGGGTCACCCAGGGTTGGAGGCAAGGCCACTCTTTTGCTATCCACCCTAAGTCCCTCTGCCTCTAAGAACTTCCACTTCCAATCTCCAATCCATGGCCTATGTGACCTCAAGTTCAAGGTTTGCCCTCTCTGAGCTTCCTGTCCCCTTGGGAACTGGGCATGGGGTGGGGAAGGGCAGAAGACTTATGGTTGGGGAGGGTTCATGTACCTATCAGCCTTTCCCCTGCAGGTCCCCTTCCTAGTGCAGGGGAAAGTCCCCAGTCCTCACCCCAGTTCTATCCCGAATCACTCTGTGGCCAGAGCCAGTGTCCTCCACTATGAAGAATGCTCACCAGCCAGTCTCCCAAAGGTGGTTATGAGGAGGCCCTGTGGAGCACATCTCAGACCAGGCCAGCCACTGGCCTCATGCCCCACCAGATCCTGGGGTGGACAATTACTGAGCTTTGAAGGCCCCACCCCAAGACTTTCCCCACCCCGTCCCCTTGTGAACACAGAAGAGTCTACGGACCCAGCCCTTGAAAAACAAGCATTTGTGTTTATTTACCAAAGGGAGGAAAGTCAAGGCAGTGCAGACTCCTCCAAGTCCCTCTTGTAGTCTACCCACATAGGCCAGGCTGCCAAGGCCCTTGAAGAACAGTACACAGGCCACTCCTCCCTGCCCCCACCCCAGGGTGAGTTCCCGGGAACCAAGGCCCACTGGATAAAGAAGAGGAAGTCGGCAAAGGACCGAGGCCAGGGAAGGAAGGAAGAAAGAAACAGAGCTGCTGAGTAGACAGCTCTGGTGAGATCTCTTGGCTCCTCACCCTCAGTGGGGAGGGCTACATGCCCCAAATCCAAACCCACAAGCAGGGGTACATTCACATCAAAACCCTACATGTGAGGGGTAGGAGATGGTCCAAGGTCAAGAGGCAACTCTCTCCAGGTCTCTCCTTGCCAGATGGATGCTTGTCCAGCCTCTGAGCCTTGGCCTCTATACCAAGTTCACACAAGGCAGCAGCCTCTGATCTGCCCCAAGCCAGGGAATGGATAGATGCAGGAGAGGTCAAGGGACCAATGGCATCTCTAAGATCCGCCCTGTGGTGAATTCCGAGTCCAGTGGAGGCCTAGCCCTCAGCCGCAGGAGTCTCCCAGGCTTGCCGCAGCCCGTACAGCCACTTGATCACCCGGGCATTTCGCTCTACCACCGACACGCCATAGGGGACACGCTCCCGGGCCCGCTCCTCGACTGTGGCAGAGCTGCGGCGGGAGCAGCCCCCCTCCGAGCTGGCCGGCCCAGCACTGGGCCCGGCCAGGGACACGATGTCTGAGCTGGCCCGCGCCAGGTGGGCCACACCCAAGCCCCGTGCTTCCTCCGGGTCCAGACCGCAGAAGTTAAAAAATCGCTCCAGGTCAGCAGCTGCCCGCGAGAAGCGCTCACTCAGGTCCGACTTAGAGCGCTGCAAACCAGGGGGCCGGGTGGGGCTGGAGGCAGCGGCAGCACCTGGCGATGGGCAGGGCCAGGCAGGTGAGGCTGGCAGGGGAAGGACATCCACTCGGCGGACCGCAGCAGTACTGGGTGGTGGGCGTGCGGGGGTCGCTGGAGGAGCCTGGCGGGTTCCCTCTGCCCGTCCAGGGGTACGACTAGCCTCGGCAGGAGACACGGGACTATCACACAAGTTGATGAGGCTGCTAAGGATGTCCAGGTCCAGCTGGGGTCGGCGGCCGGGGCCAGGCAGGACTCGGCGGCTGGGCGTGAGCACCGTGCGGCGAGTCCCGGGGCTGAAGAGCGGCTGTTTGGACAGCAGGGGCTGCACAGGTTCCTGGCGGGTGTTGGCCACATGCAGGCTCTTGACGTACTTGGCCTTGTCGGCCTCCAGGCGCTCTACAGCACTAGGTTTCCGGGCTCCACCATCCGCTGGCCGCCGTAGCAGGTAGCCGGGGACCTTGGTCCGTAGACGGAAAGGTGGGGCGGGGGTGTCCCGGGCTCCGGGAGTCAGGGTATCCACAGGCATGGTCGTTACATACCCGGAGGGCTTCTGTCTGAGGAGACTGGAGAAATGAGGAGACAGAGATCCTGATGGAAAGCTGGCAGCTGGACGCCGCCACCGCTGCTGTGGAGGAAAGAAAGAAAAGAGCAGAGCACATTCAGACAAAGGCTCAGCAAAGACTGAAAGAGGATGAAGACGCCTTCCCTATTAAAAGGTAAAGGCCACGCCTCTGATTAACAGGGAGCCAATCAGCAGGCAGAAAGTACGTGCTGAGGGGCCTGTGGCTCCACCCACCCACCCCCCTTCCTTCTCCAAGGGCTTGGCCCAGCGGAGGCAGAGAAAAAAAGGTGCCAAAGAAGACAAGGGCAGCCTGAGCAGAGAAGACAGGGCAAGGCACATTTTAAAGAAAGCAAAGTGGGCTCGAGGCTAAGTGCTGAGCACCAGCCGGCTCAACCTCAGTGGGTCCTCTTAACAATTCCATTTTGCAGATGGGGAACCTGAAGCCCAAGGAGGCAAACTTGATTAAGCTAATTCAGCAAAGTGGCGACTCTGTCCCTGTCTCCAAGAGGGGAGGTGCTTGCACAGGGGTCTTGGGGTTGAGTGGCCAACAGAAAGGGTGGCCAACCCCACACCCCATCTGAAATGCCCACAAGGAGCCTGGTACCACCTCCACCCAACACTTACCCAGGCAGGAGACTGCCCTGTGCCATCCACCCGCCTAGACATGTCAAGCCCCAGGCATAGCAGCAGAGTCTGTAGGGGAGGAGTGTAGAAAGTCCCCACCTTCGCCCCAACTGAGGTCAGACACCCATTAGCTTCCAGTATGAAACTCCAGTGCCAGGCCCACAGTAATGCATGGATGCCTGTCAGGTGGAAACGTCAGCCCTGAGCAATGCTGCTTCAAGAGAAGCCAGAAATGCACAAGATCACACCACCTTGCTTGGGAGAAACCAGCTGACTCTGGATCTGCCAGCAACATAGGCAGGAAGGCCCACACCTGGGTGCACGAGCCTCTACTTGATCACCCATCATCAGGGCCCAGTGCCCCAGCCATCAGGCCATCCCTGTCCCTTTTTCCCAAGGGCAGGCTGGAGCCACAAAGTGCCCCGGCAGTCCCCTGGAGATGACACAGAAGAAAACCCAAAGACCAAGTCCTGAACCTTTTCATGTGCAAAACTGGGGAAAGGAACTCTGTCTAGGTGATCCCCAAGAGGACCTGTAGTTCAGGCCATCTGGACCTGTATTGTCTAATTCAATAGCCACTAACCACGTATGGCTACTCAGCCTTAACTTTAAATTTAAATTAAATACACACAATTCAGTTCCTGAATCACACTAGCCACATTTTAAGTGCTCAATAGTCATATGCGGTCACTATACTAGACAGCAAGGATCAGAGCATCCATAGCAGAAAGCTATATTGGACAGCCGTACCTAGACATCTGGAATGCCAGGAAAGAGAGTCTGGATTGGGATGGGGAGGTAAGGATCTCTGTGCTCTAGACATCTGACACTATCCTCTCCTGTAATCCTCCAACAAGCCTGTGATATGGGGCACCGTCACCTCATTTTTATTGACTGAGAAACTGAGACTCAAATAAGTGACCAACCTAGGTCCCAGAGCCAATAAATAAGACACAAATTCATATGAAGCCTAATTCACTCATCTAAAAAGAGTAGCTTTACTCTTTGTTGTACACATTCTTCTAAAAATAACTCTATGAGGTGGGGGTCTGTTTTGTTCTCTGTATCTTAGTTTCAAGATATTGCTCTTTATACATAATAGGCATCCGATAATTTTTTACTGAATTGAAATACCTATGAGGGCCAAATGTGAGTGGCAGATCAGGGATAAACTAGAGAGAGGCACACTCAGCCTACTGCAGGTATATGAGTCCAGGATGGTAGTTATAGAATGTTCTAGGAAGCTGGAGAAGTTCATGAAAACTCTAGATTCTTAGCATATTTGTTAATTATTTTAAAAACAGTGCACAGACAGGGCAAGCAAAGCATGTCTGTAAACATATCTGCTTTCCTCCCCCTACAATTTGGCCCCCAACCCCAAATTGAGGTCTGCAGCAAAGGCAAGTTGAGAATAGAATCTTGGGGGCTGTTGGCCCAGAGCCAGAGTTGCTCCCGAGGTAGAAGGGATGGAGCAGGTGGGAGAGGAAGGCGGCTCCATTCAGGGCCGACCCCCAGGAGACCTCAGGAGGAAAGGGTCACAGGAAAGGCAGCCTTGCTGAACTCTGTCTAGGTAGCTAGACTCTGCCCTACCCGCGGGCCGCCGCCTCCCAAACCAGTCCAACCCGTCGGTGGCGGCGGTTCCCTCCCGGGCACCATCCGGGGAAACAGAGGGAGGAAGGTCAGATGGGCAGGGCTAGGGCAGAAGCCCTGCTTCCCCCTACCCCCACCCCGTACCCCTACCCCGCCGCTCGGACCCCACCCACCCACCCTCTTCGGCCAGACCTGCTGGCCCCAGGGGCTCTTTCGGCGTCGGGTCCAGGACTGACGCGAGGAGCCTAGCCCGGTTTTGGGGCCGCTGGCCGGCTCGCCCAGAGCTCGCCCACTCGCCCGCTGTGCGCCTTGCGTAAGCAGCTGCGCCTCTTCCTGACTTAGTTTCCTTATCTGTGAAATGCTGTTAAAAATAGACCTTCCTGATCCTCCAGGTCACTGTGAGGATGGAAAGATAAAACAGGTCGAGGGCTCTCCTCAGCACCTGGCAAAAAGGCGGCGCTGCATGAACCAGGCTCCTTGTTTAATTTAGGGCTTTGACCCAGCTCCTACGTCCGCCCCTCTCGCAGGAGCCTCTAAGCACTGTCCAGAAGGATCTGTCTGAGCCGAAGCTGCGGACAAAGGAGGCTAACCAGTGAACAAGACTCATTTCACAGGTGGGCAAACCACAAAGTGCTGCACCTCCTGCGAGTTGAAGCCAGGATCCCCGTTCCCAGGTGGGACACGTACCCTCTCTGAGGCTTCCTCTTATCGCCCAACGCCCCACCCACGGATTTCAAACGCTTCCCACAAATGACCCCAAATATGCCGCCCCAGCTCTTCTCATTGGCATCCCCTGGGAAAGAAGCCCCAGCTAGCTCCCTCCCCACCGGCTTCTCTGACATCAGCCTCAGGAGGCTGCGGAGGGGAAGTACGGGGAGCCCGGATACCGGGTCTGGCTTTTCTGCCCTTCCCCAACTGGGGGCAATCTTGTTGACTCCCAGCGACGGAGGAGGCCGCGAGCCTGGCGGCGTGCTGTGTAACTCTGTCTGCTCGCCGGCCCTCTCTGAGCCCCAGTTGTCTTGGATCTTCTTAAAAGAGGGGGCTGGCTGACGGCAGAATTTCTACAGCCTCGTCCAGGCTGAAGTTGAGTCCCTGACCGGTCCCCGCCTTCCCAAGGAGGGAGAGGTGCCTCGGCAGCCCCCCACCCCGGCCAGGCACCCCAGGCCCCAGCCCGCACACGTACCTGGCTGCCCGGTGCTGCCGCTCTGCGCTGCTCCTGCCCGGCCCACCTGGGGCTCAGGTAGCACGCGTTTGCGCAACTTCCGGCGGCTGGCCGCGGGCAGGTGAACCCCGTCCGCCCAGGTATTACTCGAAAAGGGAGAGCGAAAGCCAGGCAGCGGCCGGAACCGGAGCCCAGGAGGGCTGGCAGCCGACTCGGTGCGGGGATCGGGTCCCAGCCGCCCTTGGTCTATCACAGGAAGCTCTTCCGCGAGCCGGGCCCGCCCATCCCACAGCTGCCCGGGCCCATCGGCACATCTAGCGCGCAGAGTCCTTGAGGCCCACTCGCGTAAGTGCACCCGTCTTAGAGATGGGAAAGCTGAGCCCTGCCTCCCCCACAGTCACGACAATTAATGTTCACTGTGGCAGGCATAAGATAGTGCTTTTCCTGATATCAATTAACCCATTTTAATCTTCCCAACAACCTCTATGAGATGCGCTCTATTATTATCCCCATTTGACGGGCTGAGTCAGTTGCCCAAAGTCACCCTGAAGAGTCCAACCTGGACACTTTCCCTCCAGACCAAGCCTTAATGCCATCCCTTTCTAGCTATGTGAACCCCCGCAGGTTGCTGGACCTCTCTGGCCCTCCATTCTGCCAAGAAAGGAGAGTCCCACCTTCCAGGCCAGGTCAGTGGGAGCTTTTAGGGTGTGAGAGTGCCTGTAGAAGCTTTGTCCAAGCTGTAAACATTAGTAACAACAGCAATAACAGTAATAATAATAACTAGAATTTATGAGTGCTAGGCACTGTGCTTATTTAAATCTCTGGACTCCCCTGGGAGGAAGGAACTATTTAATCCTCATTTTACAGATGAGGGGAATGTAGCCCCACAGGAAGGCATCCCTGGGAGGGAGGTGATTGTCTCCTCTGCCAGCCCCTGCCCCATTATGTCACTTCAGGTGGCATATTTGATTAAGCCAGTTACCACGGGGACCCTGAGGCCCAGGGAAGGATGTACCCACCAGCCTCAGACCTGAGCCCTGGGGAGGCTAAAGAGGGCCCAGTTCCATGTCTGTGCCTGGTCGGGGGGTTGTGCCAGGATTGGGATGGAGGGCACGAGGGGACAGGAAGTGATTCAGGGAACAGCTCTCCTTCCGCGTGGGAGTGAGTCAGCCCTGAGGCCTCCTCCAACCCCTGGGGCCCAATTTTAGGGGTTGAGGGAGGTGACAAGACCATGATTCTCCACAGCAGCCTGCTGGGACCGTGCCAGGCCCTCTACTAAGGCAACAGTGGGGAAGGGTGAGGAGGTGAGCAGTGGTCAGTCACCCACAGTAGTAAAATAGTAGTGAAAGCAAAGCAATACCAGTTTTCATAAAATAGGTAAGTACTTTTCCAAGTGCTTTCTTCGCACCTGGTAACTGTTCTAAGCTCTTTATATATGTCAACTCTTTTAATCATCACACCTGCCCTGTAAGGTAGGTACTACTATTATGCCCATGTTACAGTGGAGAAAACTGAGGCATAGAGAGGCGGGGCCACCTGCCTGAGGTCACCAGTGGTTAGGCAAAAAAATTTTAATATAATTACTATAGGATCCAGCAATTCTACTTCTGGGTATATACCCCAAAAAATTGAAAGCAGGGACTTGAACGGATATTTGTACATCTATGTTCATAGTAGCATTATTCACAATAGCCAAAAAGTGGAAGCAACCCAAGTGTCCACTGACAGATAAACAGATAAAATGTGGTCTATACAAACCATAGAATGTTATTCAGCCTTCAAAAGGAAGGAAATTCTGGCACATGCTACAACATGGACGAACCATGAAGAGTCATTATGCTAAGTGAAATAAGCCAGTCACAAAAGGACAAATAATAGATGATTCTACTTACATGAAGTACTTAGAGTCACCAAATTCATAGAGACAGAAAGTAGAATGGTGGTTGCCAGGGGCAGGAGGGGGAAGAGAATGGGGAATTACTGGTTAATAGACAGGGAGTTTCCATTTGGGAAAATGAAAATGTTCTAGAGGTAGATGGTGAGGATGGTTGTACAACAATGTAAATGTTCTAAATGCTGCTTAAAAATGATAAATTGTGTTTTATATATATTTTACCAAAATAAGAAGAAGAAAAGAGAAGAGAAGGTGTAGAGTCTGAAGCCAGACTCCTTGGATTCAAATTCCAGCTCTGGGAGACTATGTGTAATTTACTAAACATCTCATATGCTCAGTTTCCCTTCATAAGATGGAAATAATAACAGCAGTAACTACCTTACATCAAAGAACAGAGGGAATCAGAGCTCATACTTGTAAAGTACTTAGCACACAGTAAGTGCTCAAGAGGTGTTAGTGATTTTTATTCTTTGCTGAGGGGGCGGGAGGTGTGGTTTCTGATATTTATAATGTTCCTGACATTTGGCACTCCGGCCTCACCCCTTCCTTTCCACCTGCTTCTCTCTATCTCTTCCACTGAAGCCTGGCCCAGACTTGGGTGGAGGCAGGGAGGCCCCTCCTGCCCCAGAGGGGGATCAGGATGGCTCCAGGCAGCAGAGACTGGCCAGCCAGTAGGACAGCCCAGCTCAATTTCAGCCCAGCTGTCTGGGTCAGAGACACCCAACTGGGCATCCTCCAGGGCCACGTCAGGCCCTACACTATTTCTGGACTCTTCCCAGATGCTCAGGCCCTGGCCTGCCTAGAGTAAGCCTTGCCCAGGGCAACCTGGCACAAACCTCAGGAAGGGAGCAGTAAATAGGCTGTGGGAGGGGAGTGGGTGCAGCCACCTAAGGCATCAATCTCCTATTCGGCCCACGGACTACACACCTCTACCAACTGAGTCCTCTGGGCCTCTGTTTGCACCTGAGCTTGCAAAATGAGGACAAAGGGACTTGCAGTGGAGAGGGAATAAGAGAGATACCACATGCAAAGCTTTAGGGAAGGGCCTGGCACACAGGATGGGGAAGGTGGACTGGGACAGACCTACAACCAGGCCCACTTCCTGTCCTGATTGCCTTCTGCCTAGGCCTGAGCTCACCATCATTTCTCCTCCCAGAGAAGTGAAGAAACTTGCCAAAATCACAAACAAGTTAATTGCAGATCACAGATGGGCCAGTAGTCTCATAATTAGATAAATAATCTATAATACACATATATTTTTTTCAACCAGGTGATATATGTACGTGGCTCAAAATTCAAAAGCTATAAAGGGAATGAAGTTAAAAATTAAAAAACAGAAACAAAAACAAAAACAAAACCACCTCCCTCCTACTCCCATCCCCAGCCATCCAGTTCCCCTCCTTGCAGGCATCACTGTGACCAGAGAGTTGAATGTACTTCCAGGGAGATTTTAGGCATATACAAGCAATCATGGACATCTATTCTATTTTTTACACATATGGCAACATGCTCTGGGCACTGTCTTCATCTTGCTCTTTTATTCAATAATATATGTTGTTCTTAAAAATATGTGTTATTAATATATTAATATGTTATTCCTGTAATTAATAATATATGTTGTGCCACGCCAGTACATAAGGAGCCCATCAGCTGCCACCGATGGCCACTGAAGGTGTGTGTCTAGTCTTTCTCTGTTACAAACCACACTGCAGCCCCCACTGCATCTACATCATTCCACCTAGAAGTGGGACAGCTAGGTCAGAGGGATGTACTTGTAACTGTGACAGAGATGGGGGACCGTGCTCCATGGGGGCCATACCAGTTGATCCCACCAGCAGAACACATGGAAAATGATCAATAAATGTTAGCTTTAGTCATTCTGATTACTGGGGTTTGAGGCACCCCTCAATTTCATGCTGAAGGCGGAACTATCTCACTTGCCTCACCCTAGCCATCACATTCCAACCAGAGAAGATAATAAGTGAAATTATAGGACATCAGATGGGGTAAATGCAATTGAGAAAAACAAAACAGATGAGGCAGAGGGTGAGGCATATGAAGTCAGTAAATATTTGTTGAAAGAATGAATGAATGATTTGTTTTCTTTCTGAGCTCCCAGAGCTCTTCTCCCCAAAACAGGAGGTGGAGTTGGAGGAGGGAGGATAAGTAACCCCCCTTGAAGAGATTCAAGACTCCCAGATGCTATGATTCTGAGTGTCTAGGATTCTAAGACTGAAGCCAGATAGGCTGGGAGCCAGCCCCAGAGTTGCTAAGTCTAACCATGTACTTTGAGCAAGGGGCTTAACTTCTTAGAACCTCAGTTTCCCCCACCTACAAAAGAAAACCAACAATAGCAACTTCCAAGTGGAGGGCTCCCCAGAAAGCAGGGCCTGGTGTAGATTAGATGCTCTATGGACAGGGGTCTGGGGCCCACCCCCAACTCCAAAGTCTCTGGTGACTAGTGTCTTCAGTTGAAGGGCTGTCTCTATCCTTTCCCTCAACCTGGGGTAGACACCCAAGATTCCAACAGTGACTCCAAGGGCCAGAGTATCCGCTGCCCACCTGGCACCTAGACCAGAAATGTCAGTCTCGCTGGATCCCCCAGAGTCCCTCTGAGAAGGACAGCGGTGCAATTCGAGTTCCATAGGCAGAAAGATCCAAAGTGAGCCCCAAGTACACCCCACCCCTGGCTTTCTGAAGAACTAAGGACAGATGCCCAGGAGGGGACCCCAAGGAAGATGCGGGGGAGGGGCATCCGAGAGGAGATCCAGCCAAGGCTCTACTGGTCATGTTCTTGCGGATAAGAGGCCAAGAAAGTGATCACCAGTTCCCCATCTGGGCCTCTCACTGCAAGTCTAGATCTACCTAGACTTGAGACTTCGCAATGGTGTATCAAGACCTGAATTGGTCTCTATGCCAGACTTCGCTTGACTAGAACTCTTGCTTCTCAGCCTCAGCGTTCTCATCTGTGAAATGGGGTACCACCACCTCTCCGCAGGTACGACTTGAGAGGACGCGCATAGCAGACGCTGGGCGAATGGAGCCCCTCGAGACCCAGGTTCGCGCCCCAGACCACCAGTGCCCTCACCTGGAGCCCGCGCCAGGAGAGTCCGGCTCCTCCAGTGCGGGTCTTGCGAAGGCTGACAGCTCGGACCCAGGCGGAGAATGGCCGCGCCCAAAGCGGCTCAGGAGGCCCCTGCCCCGCGTGAGGACCGGCGGGGGCCTCCTCAGAGCTGCCCTCGGCACCCGAGATGAGCTGGAGGACCTGACTGTCCCAAGGCCCGCACCGGAGCGAAGAACCCCGGTGCTCAGGGGAAGGGGAAGTGAGCGTGCTGAGCTCCTCCACAGCCACCCCCCCGACACCGGAATGGTTTGCCCCGGACATCCTGATTGGTTTCTCGCTTCCGTTCGAACGCCGCGCCGCCTGCGTTGCCAGGCGACGGCTAAGCTTCGGCCCCGGGGGTGAGCGCGGCTTCTGGGCAGTCCCTCCCCGCCCCTCTCCTCCCGGTTGGTCTCAGGTTGGCCGCGGCTTTAGCTCAGGCGCCAAGTTCTTTCCCTTGCTCAGCAGGAACTTTCTCCGGTCCCCAACGGATTCCTGAGTCCCGACTTTGCAGCTAACTTGCTATGTGAGCCGGAGCAAGTCCCTTTCCCTCTCTCTTCCACTAACTGTGCAATGATGCGTGGGTTCGTTTTAAGACATGCATACCCAGCAGACCTGAAATTTACTAAGGAAATAACCAGTGATATAAGCAAAGATTAATATAGCCCAGCTTTATTTATCATAGCAAAGTAATGGAACTAACTTCAGTTCTCAGTGAAGGGAGATTGGTCGTATAAACCCATCCTTCGGAAAAACCAAGCTTACTAAGATTTTACATACCAGGTAGCTTTGCATGACATAACTCTTGTCAGTACTCGTGGTATAACCCTCTGAGATAGATACCTTTAATTAGCCTGACTTTCTGATGAGGAATATTATGCAGTCGTTAAAAATGATATGGTTAAAATACATTTAAAGTGGGAGAAACACTAAAAAAGTATTAAGTTTTTAAAGTATGTTTCAAAGCACGATGTACAACATAAGTAGTACTAAAATACAATGGTAATATCATATGTATGTTTATGTATAATCATTTATAATAACAGCAGTTAATTTTTTCTTTCTGCTTGTATGAAGTTTCCAAATTTCCAACAGTTAAACAAGTCAAGAAAAAAAACACATTTTTAAAATGAGGATTGGAAAAATTAACTCTAACAGCCCTTCCAGAAGAGGAAATTTTTTAGCTGTGAGTCACAGTTTGGGTCTAGGGCATTGCTCAGTTTGGAGTCAGCATCTGTTTTCTATTTCAGCTGGTATTTTTCATTTTTTCGATTGGATTGTCAGTGATCGACTACTGACTGTGTACATGCCTCAGGCAGGTGGGGAGGGAGACTAATAACACACCAATAGCTAACAATGATTGCATGTTGTGGCATGGGTGCCAACCAACCATATCAGAGCAGGTACCATTATCAACAGGGAGTCTGTGAGAACCAGCTGAATATCAAACCTGGCAATAACTGTGCCCTTGAGAGGTTGTGCTCAAGGCTTTACCCACATTGTCTCATTTGATTTCATTACTGTCTGAAGAAGAGAGATTCTATTATGATTCCTATTTTATACATGAGAAACCTAAGGTTTGCCTGGATCCAGCAGGAGGCCTCTCAACCATTCTGTTACATTCTCGTGAAACTGCACAAGACCTGTTCGACAGTAGCAGGGAGGAAGGTAAGGAGGATGATCCTGTGAGCCTAAAAGACACAAAGAAAACCAAGTAGGAGCAGATCCAGACTTTGTACTTCCCGAGGCTTAAACAAGTCTTATTTAAGAAAAGGACTACAGAATTATAGATATAAAAGTAGGTAATAAAATGATTATTTGGTGAGAAAGGTAAAAGAAACCTTAACAAATGACAAATTCCACAAATGTCACAAAGTCCAGAAAAATAACACTATTCTTGTGAATCACCTGTTTGATATACCTCCATAATACTTTCCATAAACAAGCTTCTGGCTCCATGTATACATTTCAGACTTCTCCTCTACTACCACGTACTGGTGGTACTGGGCACTGTAGGATCATTCATACACATCAGTATTTGACCTCCAACTCTGCACTTTTGTGTCATAGTGCTAGGTGAATCAGCTCAGTGTGTTAGGTAGGGGTATTTCTGGAAGCCATCCCTATACTAGGGAAGTTAGTAATAATTTAACTATTCACAAAAGTGACTGGAAACAATGTAAATAAAACCTCTAAACGTCAGCTAAACGTCAAGATCCTCTTAGCCAGATCCCCAAAACGCTTCCACTCGCACCAACATCATCTGACACAGAGGAAGTCGGAATGGAAGGAGATGGTGGTTTTAACAGAGTGAAGTTAAAATACCTTACTTTGGCAAATGTTACAAAAGCATATGACCATGTGAACACATTGCTAGGGGGCCTCCCAGATCTTGGCTTCCCTGTCATTAAAACGGGAATGACAACAATGGTGTCGTGGCTGGATTCTCTGAAATGTACAGCTTTAATCAGGGGTTGGGAGATATTTGAGATGTCTGGATAAATGCCCTGCTGATCACTGCATATTCAAAGCTTGCTTCTGCTCCCCATGCCCTGGAGCTTAAAACAAACAAGACAACACCAAAACCCTGAGCCTCATCCCCAGATTAAGAAAGTGAGACAAACAGAGGGCAGAAGGAATTTCCCCTGAATTCCAAATTAGTCCACATGAAGAGAGATCATTTGGGCACACTCAGATTCCAGAATGCTGAGCATCTTCATGTGCCAACAGCCTACTGGTGATAACCCCAATTTTCGAGGATTTATTAAGCACTTGATGCCCATTTAGAGTAATGGAAAACATCTCCGTCCTTCCCCTTCCCCATTGTGCGGGGTGGAGAGGGAGAGCCCTCAAGAAAAAGAAGGTGGCCAAGCTGTCATTAGTGTGACCAGATTACAGGGAGCTAGAGGATCCTTACACCTTATCCTAACCTGGCACATGAGCAACAATAATACCTCACCTTGTAAACAGGCCTGTGGCTGCTTCACTGCCGCCTCCTGCACCCTGACCTTGGTGGTGTTTTCTCCACTCAGCTCGAAACTGAGATGAAATCAGCCTCAGATTTCAGCTTCCTAGCTTCTGTGCACCCCATGGCTGTCTTTTGTTTTGTTTCATTTAATTCAAAGAATGTTCTCTCTGTACATATTTGCTTGCATCTGAAGGACCTAGCAGATACTGGTCCCAGTGGTGGATACTGGGCTAACTGGGGGAAGGAGAAAAGCTTTTTAAAAAATATTTTTTTTAACTTTTTGGATTTTGTAACACATAAGTGTATTGTCTATTTTAAAAATTAAATAAGGATATTCTATGAGAGATTTAACAACAAGAATATTTACTACAGTATTGCAAAAGAAAAAAACCAACCATGATCTAATTTCCTGGCTACAGGGCAATAGCATGGTGAACAGAACTGAAACAGAATACTATACAGCCATTAAGAATGATGTTTTTTGCAAGGGAGGGTATAGTTCAGTGGTACAGTACGTGCTTAGCATGCAGGAGGTCATGAGTTCAATCCCCAGTACCTTCATTATAAACAAACAAACAAACCTAATTACCTCCCCCCACCAAAAAAAAGCTTTAAAAAATAACAAATTAAAGGAAAAAAAAAGAAACAAAATTGGGGGGGGATGTGCATTTAAAAAAAGTTAACTATGTTTTTGAGAAATATTAAGTGATATGGAAAGATTTTTAAAATACTGTCTCTCTCAGTTCATTTATTTATTCTAGAAATATTTTTGAGCACCTACTATACAGATGCAAACACATCTTTCTAAGCCTCAGTTTCCTCACCTGTGAAACGGGAGTTAACCACACCCACCTGCCAGGCTTGTGAGTGACACAGTACCCTGACTGACCCTCCACAACCTACGGCTATTGTTTCTGCTACTGTTCTTATGAGGTTGTTTGACAATGCCAGCTTATGAGGCAGCGTGTCCCCTGGTGTCACTCTCTGCCCAAACCCTCCAAGGGCTCCCCAGCCACCACTGAATACTGTGGCCTTTGGAAGTTGATCCCTGGTAGCCCCACCGCCTATCACCTTCCCCCTCAGCCCACCTCACTCCAACCACTGCCCATCCTGTTGCTTCTCAAATATACCAAGCACCCTCAAGCCTTAGGGCCTTTGCACATGTGGTTCCCTCTGACTGGGCCTCTCTTCCCCACAAGCACAGCTTCCACCTCACATCCTCCCTCACTTCATTCTGGTCTCTGCCCAAATGTCATCCTCCCAGGGAACCCCGTCATCCTCCCCCATCATTCACATCCCTCTTCACAGCACTCCAACCTCCTGACATTCGGTGTGTTCCTGTGTTTGTGTCTTGCCTGTCACCTCCACCGACTGTGAGCTCCCAGAAGGCAGGGTCCACACTTCTTTTGCCCACTTACCCTGCAGTTAGAGACTGGCAATGCACTTAACCATAGTAAGCGCTCTCAGAAGTCCTGGAGCTGAAACTCCTTTTTCTGTGCTTTCTGCACTGTTTCCCAAATGTATTCAATCCTGAAGCCCTATGTTCTCACACTTATCAAACAGAAACAGTGAAATCACTGTCTACAGAGGGTGAGTCTCCAGGATGTGATGAGGGACACTTCCTCCTCTATCAGTGCCCTCCTGAAAGTACCCCCAGGACCAGATTCCCAGACCCAGGAACTGTCCTGGTCTCCAGTTCCCCGCGGCACATGCCTCTCAAACTGCTCAGTGCCTCCCGAGGGCCAGGTTCTATCTGCCGAAGAATCAGGTCCAGTTTCCTATAGGCGTATTCCAGGTGACGACATACCCTGCTGGCTCAGTCACACCGTGAGCCACCACTCCCCTGCCCCTCGTTGCCAGTCTGTGTAGCCCTGGACTGGATCCTTCCTATCTCTGAGCCTCAATTTCTCCATCTGTACGATGGAGGTAGTAACGCATTCAGTGGGCTCAGAAAGGTGCCCTGAATACCCGATCCAAGCAAGATTCTGGGCTTCTGTCCTTAGAAAGGATTTGATTCTAAACCAGGCAAGATCAGAGCAACCACAAATGCCAAGATATAGTTGTTGATGCCCCGAGATCATGGGGCCCCAGTCCCCCTGGATTCCCAGGGAGAAGTGTGCAGCCAGGAGACCCAGCAGGGAAGGGCTCAGCTCGGGAGGAGGACCCCGAGAGCCCAGCCCTCACAGCCTCCACTTCCCCACTCCCCGCCCTGTGCAGCCCATCCCAGCAACATCCAGCAGCTTGGAGCTGTGCCCACCCACCACCCTGAT